ACATACATACATACATACATACATACATACATACATACATACATACAATCATTAATGTCGTTGACAAGAGATGTCATTCTTACAATTGCTAATCTCATTTTCAGAACTGACTCCATGACAAGTTAGAGCTGGAATGTGTATCTATCAATATGGTTCCACTTTAAATTTTGATTCAGCTTTAACCAATATCATTGTTTTTCCTTTCTGTATTCAATAGGTATGGGTTTAATTGTGTCTTCAAACTTTAGAGAAAACTGACTTACAATAGCAACTTCCATACAACTACACAGTGGACTAGGCAATGTCAGGGTGACTGACTACTTAATTTGAAGTTCCAAAAAAGTTTTGTTTATGATATAATCATTCTATTTCTACTTTCTTTAAAAAAAAAAAACATTTCTAGTGATTTCTCAAATCTAATTGTTGTAGTAAGAACAGCAAATAGTAACTCAGCCAAATGATGTTTACATGTCAATAATGTCTCAGTGGGTCTCAGCCAGAAAATTTCTCTTAACATTCCAAACAATTGTTCAAGTTTTGGCAAATCAGCTGCCCTATTCTGCCAACCTCTTTTTGAGCTAATTTTGTGATTTGTCATAGTGTAAAAAGCACAAAAGCAGCTAAACACATTTGCAGTGGTTTTACTTGTTTGAACAAGTAATACTCTCCTCTTTTAGTGTGTTTCATTTGTGACCTTTTTTTTTTTTTTTAATCTTGTGTTTTACAAGTACACATGTTGCATTGCCTGAAGTAGAGGGCATATTTTTCACCTTAATCTTTTTTTATTTAAAGAAAAATGCAGAAGTTTAGTAAATAAAATAAAAAAATGTAAACACTACTTTTATTATGTGCTGCTCCAGAACTGTCACGTGTATCAAACAAAGAAAAAAAATCTGTGCTATTGGGTTGTTTTCACTCAGAGTTTTGTCATAAATTACTAATAGATCTATTACTAATGTTGAGTATGTACTGTAGTTAGAAACAAAGATAATTATTTATAACTACATTAATAATATTTTGCCAATGAAAAACATATCACAGTTGAAAGGTGTTGTTGATCTTTACATTTTAAAATGTCCAAACAAAATCATACATAAGAAAGTAGTTATTAATTAAATAAGAGCTTAGTACCTGCCAGAAAAATAAAAAAAATGAAAACTACTTTTGGAGATAAAACCAAATGACCAATAACAAAATGTTTACATTCACTAACGACTGAGAGGAGCACATGATGCAGTACTAATGAACATGTATTTATACATTAAGTGGAATTATCAAGGAATGCTGGTAAAACTTCTTGTTTTAGCAGCTGAAGCATGCACATTTTACTACACTGCCAATCGATGCATGTTACATATTACTTTTCAAAAAGAAAAACACAAAAACATTTGAAAGTAAATCATAATCATTTAGCTATTTACAAAAAAACAGCAATGTTAAGGTGTGCTAAAGCATGTTGAGCCTTTCACCTTCCAGAGCAGTCAAAGTGATGCAATCTATTAAACACAGTAATACAAGTGTTAGATTATTTAATTTAAATATGTTATATATGTTCAAAATGAACGTTTAACAATAGAACATCTTGAATCGGAGTTCGAAATGAAGTGTATTTTAGTAAGCCTATAATCACCTAAAAGTAACTGTTCAACAATATACAGTTAGTGTGTAACGGTATATATATATATATATATATATATATATATGTCCTATAAAAATATCACTGTAGTTTAAAAAATTATTATATCTTTGAGTGAAATGTAATGATATTACTTCAACAATGGTTTGAGAAAATTGATTTGCACATTAATCTATATAATAATAATTATTATTATTATATAACATCTGGCTATAGAAGAAGATCAAATTGGCATTTATTACAACCACCTTGTTAGGAACTACACAAATGTGGGATTTTGTGAAAACATGATCTTAATCACTGAGTCGTTGAGTCAGTAAAGTCCCAATTCTGTCAAATTCCATAGGACACTTTGTTCTCTGTGTAATCATGCATGTTTATTTGCAGGGGGTATAGACCCTAAGGTGATGGCAGAACAACATTTGGGCCAATGGAAGTCATATGACGGAAATATAAGAACAAAGTGAACAAAAAGTGGGGAAAAAAGTTGTTAAAAGCATTTTTACAAGAATGGTGTAGTATCTGTGGATCACTGGCTCTCACCTTCAGCTATGACTTTGACTGCAATAGTTGCTCTTGCATCACTTTGAATGTTAGTTGATACCAAAATAATGCTTGCACTGTGCTGCTTTTGAACACCAATAAATCATTACATTATGTATTTTAAATAAAGATCTAGAAAAAAAGTTTGATTTTTGTCCTTTATTTTAAATGCACACATTCAATATCTTAGCATTCTAATGGTGTTTGTTGAGGAGTAGGCCTCAAGGTTGGAGTAGTCGACAATGGACTACTTTCAAAAACAAGTATTTTAAACATGCAGTTTTTTGTTTTGTATTTTTGTCTTTGCATATAGGACAAAGAATGACATTTATCATACAGACTGTACTAAAGAGCCCCACAAATATTATGTTGCTAGCAACCTCATTGAACGCCCATATCTTTGTTCTTAAGGTGTCACATTCACTGAGACAGTTCAATTTAATGTACTGTGGTGCCTCATAAAGCCTCCTGCTACATAACATACAATGCATTGTAAATCACTGGACATCAGCAGTTTTAAAAGCTCCAAAGAATGCTTGCCTGCTCTATCATTATGACAACTATTGCGCATGTGAGCACAAATCTTAAGAAGCCAAGCTGTGCTAAGATCTCAACAGGGAGGAGAACCTGGTTCTGCTTTACTGTAAATTGGTTGTGACTATATAATTGTTATCAAATTTGTTATCAAACAGGGATTTTGCTCAACTTAAAAAAATATATATTTATGCAAACTATGTGAAAATAACTGAATGGAGGATTCAGTTTAACCTCATGCACGCACATGCGAAACATCTCCTTTTAAATGTAACGTAGTTAAAGTACAAGCTGAACATGTCCTCCTTCTTTTACTGTTTTGAACAAGTGTGACGTTAAAGTGTCCTGAAGCGTGCTCAATAATCCAGGTAGATAAACAAGACTGAGTTGGACCCTCGGGACGGATTCTTAGTTGAAATATTTCGTCTTTTATCCTGAAGTCTTCTTCAGTCTGAGGAGCTGCAAGTAAACTCAGTCTTATAAGCAGCACCTTCTCATAGCAGATCAACCAGTTTGCTGGTGACAGCCAAAATTCACCACTGATTGTTAGTGCCCTGATGGCCGCTTGTTATTCACAGAGAACTGAGTGATGCTTGCAAAAACAGCATCATAGGAAGGGACAATTGAACATGGAGGTTTACGTCCCTGTTTAAAGATGGGTGGGTTCACTTCACTAGGATGGATTCCTTTACTCCTCTCTCTAACCAACGTTCCTCCCTACCAAGGATGTGAACATATTTATTCCTGAAAGAGTGACCACTGGCCTGCAGATGAGTGTAGACCACAGAGTCCTGGCCTGATGATTTGGCCTGGCCTCAGACCAAAGTCTTTTGGATAAAAGACTAAATGTTTCAACAAAGATCTTTTTTTTTTTTTTGAATGTCCAGAGGACCAGATTCAACTTTTTTTTAGATTTTTCTACCTGGATTATTGAGCATGCATCAGGATGTTTCAACGAAGAACAACCAATCCAGAGGACCTGACTCAACCTTGTTAGATATACAGTGGTGCTTGAATGTTTGTGAACCTTTTAGAATTTTATATTTCTGCATAAATATGACCTGAAACATCATCAGATTTTCACACAAGTCCTAAAAGTAGATAAAGAGAATCCGTCTATCCATTATCTTTACCCGCTTCTTTGTTTTTGGGTGACAGGGGTCATTGGTGCCCATGTCCAACCATCATTGTGCGAGATGTGGGGTACACCCTGGACATGTCTCCAGTCCATCACAGGGACACTAGAGACAAACAACCATTCACTGTCACCTAGGGACAATTTAGAGTTACCAATCAACCTAAAAAATATGCATGTTTTTGGTCTGTGGGGGGAAACCAGAGTACCTGGAGAAACCCCACACATTTAAGGAGAGAACATGCACACTCCACCCAGACTGGGATTTGAACCGGGGACCTGCTCGCTGAGAGGCTGCTGCTCTACCAGTTGCACCACTGTGCTGCCCTTCAGTGGATGCGTGTTCTGCAAAACTTGTCATACATTAGAATTAACCCCACCATGGATATTTAAATACACTAAACCATGTGTTCAGCTTTAATGGATGTACATCTAAGATTTACAGGGGGGGGGGGGGGGGATTAGTATTCAGCAAGCTATGAATGATTAAACGCGCAGATACTTCTTTGCACCTGCCAAACAAATTACACTGAATAGAGTGAGCGACCGTTCCAAGATGGCGGCCCTATGGCTTGTCAGCGCCAATAGGCAATAGCGGTCCATGAGGTGTCTAGTGTATATATGATGTATATGCATGGCACTCA